TTGTCATATATCTAGCGGCTTAAAGTTGTCATATATCTTGCGACTTAAAGTTGTCGAGCGGGACTATTGAGAGGTAATAAATAATCATATTTTACTTCCAACATATCTTGATACTTTCTTACAAACTTGCTTAAGTATCTTACTAAATTGCAAAATCTGAAGTCCAACCATACAACCATAGTAAACACGTGTTTACACCTTGGTTCAGTTTCGTGTATTTTGTCCTCATTTCGTCAGTTACTTCGTCTGTTGTCAAAGAGAAGCAGCAGTTTTACGACATACATGCATATTGCAACATTTAGTCATTTATTTTAAACGCTTGTAATTGTCAACAACGTAATTAGTAGGCTAAAAGCATGTTAAATAATTTCATTAAATATAACTATAGACCGCTTAATACTTTACTGAACAGCTGTCATCATGGTACAGTTATATATCATTTACTTATATTTCTTTTCTATAGAACTAACTTGTAGAATATCATCATTACTTTGATATCTTTCAGGTTATCTTGTAATTTCTGCTTCGTTTACTTTCAAAAATAGAAAAATTAGCAAAATGACAACAATATTCGAGCATCAATGCATAACAAACCTACATATTCCTTTGTTGTATTTTTAATATTTGCCAAACGACTTTCGATTTTCACAATTTATATTTAGAATGTTTATCTGAAAATAAGCAAAAAATCGGGGCTAAAAGCATGGGGTATTATTCGCATCAAATGTTGCTACACCACAAGATATATTACTATACCACAATTCTTTTACTCGTATAACCAGCGTGAAAATAAAGGTGAGGTTAGCTCCTATACGAAATTTGCATATTTTAGACAATGACATTTGACACGTGATTGTTTACTGCAGAATTGTCGGCATGATGTTGTGATATAGTATTGCCTTGGATGGTCAACGGAGATAACAAGCTCATGTGTTCAAGTATGTGCGTCGGGCTACGGGATTTATCTAAACCGAATATTATTGAACAGGTCGATCAATGTTCTAAATCAGCTGTGCTATCAACAACGCCCGTAGCAGTCAACACAGCTACTGTACATTTTTCTTCACCCCATATCACTCCTTTTGATAACAAGATGACATAAACGAAGTGTCCTACTGGTAAGCTGACTGGGCTTCCGGACCCAAACCGACTACTAAAATTGTGGAACACCCGCAACTGAAGAAAATTCAGAATAAAAAATCTGCCATGGGGGGGGGGGGGGGTTACTGCATATGAAAAAAACAACAACACCAACAACACCCAAAGCGCATTGGGACAGGGATCTTTTTATCAAAATAGTACCAATATCAACATTGAAGTAGTTCCAATTGCCTTATAGCTTGTTTGACGTGTTTATATTGTTATAAGACCGTAGCCTTTGATGTTTTGACCTAGCCTTCTACGTTACATATATCATGTATATTTCATTGGTCCATTTAACGGAGTTATGTTGTGAACAACAAAACGGGATATCCTTTAACTCATTCCCCCCTGAAATTTTATAATGAACTAGTCTAGCCTTTGAATTTGAGGAGTTTAGATGTGCCTGCAAGGGTGAATGAGTTAGAGGAAAATATAACAATAATTTGCACATGTTTTGACTTAATCCAAAGCATTTCTGAGCAGTTGACACATATAAGCCTTTTTTCTTGTCAGATACTCATCCTCTTTAAAAAAAAATAACGATGATTTTTTTTGAAAACAAGAATTCCACGGAAGTGGATGTGTCGCCTGCGCAGAAAGCTGGGAGATAACGAAGAAATAGATACACTTTTCATTTCAAGAAATAATGTTAAAAGTAAGCAATAATCATAGATTATGTTTTTGGATGGCATCATTTTGTTACATAATCTGTTATTCTGGGAAGAATACTCTGAGTTTTAAGGAACTTGCTATGGATAGTCATTGTCTCAATTCCAAGTTTAATTTGTATGATTTCTCGGATGGTTTCCCATTAATAAATGAATAAACTTGTGGATTATGATGTTAAACAGCCAGTGTTGTCAATAACATTTGAAAATGCAAGTATGCTTAGCACTGCATGAAGTTTGAGTTTGATCGGCCCAAGGAAACTCAAGTTATCGCACGAAAACATATTTTTTATTTATAGTAACAGTGACCTTGACCTTCGACCTTCGGACCTGAAAAGCAAACCAAAGCAAGCACTATTGGTAAGGAAGCACTGCATGAAGTTTGAGTTTGATCGGCCCAGGGAAACTCAAGTTATCGCACGAAAACATATTTTTTTATTTATAGTAACAGTGACCTTGACCTTTGACCTTTGGACCTGAAAAGCAACCTTGAGCAAGCACTTTTGGTAAGAAAGCAATGCATGAAGTTTGAGTGTGTTCGGCCCAAGGAAACTCAAGTTTTCGCACGAAAACATATTTTTCATTTATAGTAACAGTGACCTTGACCTTTGATCTTCGGACCTGAAACTCAAGTTATCGCACGAAAACCTCTGCGCAGGCGACACAAAAAAATAAAATGTAAAAGGGATGATACAACTTGAAATGATCTTGAAATTGGTCAATTGTCTAAAGCAAACAGAATATTAATATCAAGTATACAAGATCTGTACTTGCTATAATATCGGGATTAAATATTGTAACATTTCTTACATAATTAAATACAGGAATTCAGTAAATTTACAACCAAATGGTATCGGAAAAAGTCGACAGTAGACTGCTTTAATAGCACAGAAGCTATTATAGAGGTTTGGGTCACTGGACCATATCGCTCAAAAGTTCGAACCGATATCGGAACAAACGCTGGAATATAGACCGCTTATAACAAATGTACATTCAACTAAATTCAAAATAATACAATGACGTCCTAACAAGTAAACATAAAAGCCGATTTAAACCCACCAGTAACCTAGCTACCAAATCCTGGCCACGATGTCGTGCCTGAGACTGGGTCATTCGGAACACCTAAAATGCGTTCGGAAAGACGATTATCACTGTCCACTCCGATTCTTTTTCATAGACAATATACATACTGTAGTATTAATTACAGCTATTTATGTATCATTATACACAACTGCCTGTCTACTTGACAAATACTGAAAACAGGGAAAAAAACATAATTATGACATGGCTGTTTTCAGAAAAAAATTAGAATCGGTCCGTTTAACGTTTTTGACTTTTACGTAAACGGTTGCATAATCTATGTATACCAAAATGCTAATGCGCAGCCCAATCCGGATGTTGAACGAACCATTAAATAAAGTTATTAAAACAATTACCCGGTAGTTTCATCACCAACACTGCCAGTTAGACTGGAATACTGTGTCATTATGTGGTATCAATATATAATATCATTATTGTGTTTGTCAAAATAAGAGATGTAGTCTTATGCATTTGAGATGTAACACGGCATTTGATTGGTCAATCGAAATAATTCGCGACGTTATAACCACGATATACCACCACAAATCTTAAAATACCGTGAGATTATCCCCTCAGTGTTTGCTGCCTCATATTTGATGAGGACCACAAGGTAACGTACACATATTACTTTCATGTTAGCCGGTACATGATAAGCGCAGCGAAATCGATTTTCTGATCATGACCTATCATTTTCTTGTTAGTAATATCCCGGCTTCCCTAACCTGCGGTAAGTACATACTAGTATCGCAGTTAATTTGGTATTCAAAAGATTGCTTCGAATATATCGATTTCCGTAATAGATAGTGACTGATGAGGGTCAAAGTTAATACGCAAGATATCGAGTAATGCAAATGAATGATAAGTATTGGGAAGTTTGATCTATGATCTCAATGACAAATCTTTAATTTCTTTTTGTAATATGACTGTAAATTTCATTAATTAGGCTCAATAGTATGTCTTTCAGTTTCGTTGTCACTACGCCGGCTCCCGCTTTGAGGACGTTGCATTATTTTGATGTGACCTAGATTTATACGACAGGTATATTGTCGATTAAGTACAAGACGCTTACACGTTTGGGTTACCTGGGGCCTGTGTATCTTCCTCTTGTAATTTCAATGGTCTCAAGGTATTACATAAAAAAAATTTATATATATTTTGCTCTGTTTATCGATTCTGAGTTCGAATAGCGCTTTAGTTGACACTTCGGGATTTGTTTATTTGATTGCTTGATTTTATTTTATTTGGTTTGAACAACATATCATACTCAAATGTGTGTTTCGACATCTTGCGTCCCCCCATTTCACCTATTTGGTTTCTTGGTGTTACATGTACAATTGCGAAAATATTCAATGTGATTGTCAAACGATTGGTGAATTGAAGAGATATACAAAATTGACAACCTTATTTAAACACAATTATAATGTAATTATGACAAATGCTGAACCACTAAAAAAAGATGCGTCTCTATATACAGGATTTCAAACCTCTTATTTTTCCAGTTTTATAATGAAAATAAAAATTTGTATCATACAAAAATATACAGCACTAACCAATTGTACGTGTGAATATTATGAAAAAAAAACAAAACTAAAAACGAATTCACAACCTAAGTAGGAAACGTTTGTAGTTTATCTTAAGGAAGTACGCTACCTTACATATTATGCTTATGAGTATTTTAGAATCAGTCCTCCTTTTAAAAATATTTTTTCCCTCAGTACAAAGAATTGTTGCATTTTTAACTAGTTCATTTCTTTTAAATAAACATTTAATAACATTCATAATATTTACCGTGGTATTTCTTTCTGTCTTTATTCAAAGGCTTGTCAATGTAAGAAAGCACAGAATCTTAAATTTCAATAATATTTAACAAATATATTTCTGTATGAATATGCACATCGGTGCCATCATACAAATATATCTATATATATACTAGTAGAAAAAGTATCCTTACGGACGAAGAAATAATGTAAAAAGAAAAATTCTCAACAACGAGTCTCCAGTACTTTCATCTCTTCTAGGAGATTCTTCAGACTGAAGACTAAATACTCGGTGTTGAGAATTTTTCTTTTTACAATATATACTTGTATATATATCTTATATTTGCAAAACTGTACCCGCTGTATAAAAATACATTTTGATTTATGTTTATTTCATATAAATACATCACGTTTCGTCGTACATGAGATAACCTAAATAAAACCAAGGGTTTCCAGACATCACGTTCTTTGTTCCCGGTATATAAAGTTGAACGTCAACATCTAGCGGATGCGCTTTACGTTCCTCTGTTGTAAACATGGAATACAGAATATGTTGTTCAACGTTCATAAGGCTCTCGTTAAGATATCTCATCACAGCAAATTTGTATTGCCTGGCAAATCTCACAAGTACATCAGGCTTTCCAAGAAACAGACCTCCTCCAATCCAGTTTAAATTTCCATAAATTATTGTCTTCGGTCGTATATCTGTCAGTTTTGAATTATACACACGCGTTACACCAATTTTAGAGGGATCAAAATCATTTGGTACCTCCAACCAAAACGTTTTATTTCTGGTCACAATATCGCGGAAATATCCAACATCCAACCAACAATAATAATCAGTCGAAAAATATTGTTTTTGTATTGCGTCAAGGACAATAGGTAACTTAGAATGCGTTAGAGCAGTGTAAGCCGGAATAAAGGTGTTCGGATAATGTTTGGGATATCCTGGCATGGAGTATAACTTGGCAATTTTAGGCATGATCTGGAAGCTCCACAATGTGTCGCGATTGATGACAATAATCTTTGTAAGGTATTTCGTTTTATTACGTATATTAGCAAATAGCGTCGCAAAAGCCTGGCTGTCTGTGTAAAGTATCACCGGATTCTGTATTCTCCCAAAAACTCTCAGCCAGTCTTCATATTTTTTCGGTGTTCGTATACTAGCCATAGATCCTTTAGGGAAGTTTCCAATGTCGAAATACCCGGAAACTACTGTCAAACTTTTGTTGGAACCAGCCAAACTTTGGAGGAAATCCTTCGTTGTGTCCTGCAAAATAAACCAACAACACATTTTCAAAAATTGTATTAGAGATTAAATTGAATCTGAATTTTTACAAAGCATGATAGTAATTTATGGAATTTTACATCACAAAACTTTCCCCTGGACTTAACAGACCAATACACAGCTTAACCTATCCAGCTAAAACTGGTGTAATCCGACAACCTGTGGAAACCAGCATTTAGTCATGTATGTTTAGAAAAAGTAAGAAATAGAAGATGAGACTGCTCTTTTATATGTTTTCAATTTGTTTAAAAACCCACTCAAAAGTACTGTTTGTATTTACTCTTTGTATTTCATAAATGAAACAAAGTGTAGAGATATCACAAATCGACGTAGGACAATGACAGGTAAATTTTCGCTGTAATGCATACTGCTGTTTTTATGTTGATGTTGTGAAAAGGCAAATTATCTCACTTGATCTAGGTTTAATGGATTCAGTGTTACATGTCAATATCACAATATGTATCTTTCTTGAGGACATGTTTCAAAACAAATTAGACAAATTTATTTTAAGTGTAAATATAAAGTTACAACTGGTTGTATTATAAATGAATTATAACATGTTATGATCAATGAAAGCTTTTTCTGCATGGTTCAGTAGCTTCCCACAAGATAACGCCCAAAGTGAGTAACAAAAACAGGACATGAAAAGCGATTGTGATAAGTGAGGTGGTAGTATCAGGAAGTGATCTATTTACCTGATCCGTATAGAAACAGCCCTTATAAAACTAAAGCATAACTTTGCGTCATTTACAACGATATTAATCCGTCATCATTTGGGTGACTCTTTCATTATGATTGATTACTTTGCAAACATGGAAAGTTTGTCTAAATTTGTCTAAGTTTGTCTAAGTTTGTCTAAATTTGTCTAAGTTTGTCTAAATTTGTCTAAGTTTGTCTAAATTTGTCTAAGTTTGTCTAAATTTCAAATATGCCAAATTGATAACACAATAACAGCTTTATTATCCACTGTTATAAATAGAGAAATAATAAAGAAATTCAAATTCCACAATGGGGCTTAACCGCTGGAAGCAGATAGTTTAAGATTGATCAGTAATACAGAATTGTCCGGTTTTTTTCTGTGAAGTCTTAACGAATCAAATGCATGCACGTTATCTCAGGGACATCTAATATCATTTGTGCATATCATGTATCGGTAATTCAATTTTTTATACAACACACTCTTCTCTCCGGTTGACTACTCGTCTTTGGAAAGCAATCTGATATTTGTTTGCCTCAATAAGGTTATCATTAGTTTCGTTCCTCTATTGTTCTCTCTTCAAACAAAATTATCTACAAAAAGAATTGATCCATGAATTCTATTCTAGAAATACTCAGTAATTTGTATGGTCCACTAGATTGTTAAATGACATTTTGCGAATGCATTGCTGTGCAGCAAAAACGTATGTGTAATGACCAACATGTCTGTACAAACATTGAAAGTAAAACGAAGTTTTACTGTATACATTATAATGTTGTAACTTGACCTTGGTATTGATTTTTTAAAATCAGATGGGATATCTTCAATAAGATTTATCAGTTTGGAAATATGTAATATCGAAGTTTTCCTTTCTTCACAAACAATGAACGTATTAACGTGTCGCATCGATTCAAGACCGACTGGTTCCCGTATCAAGCTTTTAATTGTACATTGTTCGTGTAGAAAGTAGAACTTTGATATTCAGACGGGATCGTTCACTTGAAGGGCTTACTTTATGACTGTCATGTATATAAAGTTTACTGATGTGAAACTGAGGTAAAAATACCACTATTGATTATATATTGTTTGTCACTGTGATTGAACAAAAACGTCACCGGTGTATGTACTGTACCTTATTTCCACCCAGTAAGCAGTGTACATTTCTAGTTATCGTAACTCACCAGAATAATAAAACAAATGTATTGTAATTTCAAATTCCTACAATGAGCCAAAAGGTGGACATAGTCTCCACATTATTGAGTATTAAATATTGTGACTCAACAATGAGTCAAAAGTAAGACCTTATCTCCACATTATTGAGTATTAAATATTGTTAAATATTTTGACTCAACAATGAGTCAACAATGACGTTATCTCCACCTTATTGAATATTAAATATTGTTAAATATTTTGACTCAACAATGAATCAAAAGGTGGACCTTATCTCTGCGTTATTGATTAATAATATTGTTAAATATTGTAACTCAACCGTGAGTCAAAAGGGAGACCTTATCTCCACATTATTGAGTATTATATATTTATTGATATTGAGACTCAACCATGAGTCAAAAGGTAGACCTAATCTCCACATTATTGAGTATTTTATATTATTAAATATTTTGACTCAACAATGTGGCTAAAGGTGGACATAGTCTCCATATAATTGAGTATTAAATAGTGTGACTCAACAATGAGTCAAAAGTAAGACCTTATCTCCACATTATTAAGTATTTTATATTGTTAAATATTTTGACTCAACAATGAGTCAACAATGACATTATCTCCACATTATTGAGTATTAATATTGTAAAATATTGTAACTCAACCATGAGTCAAGAGTAAGACATAATCTCCACATTATTGAGTATTAAATATTGTTTGACATTGTGACTCAACAATGAGTCAAAAGGTATACCCTAACTGTTTTCCACTAACAATAATTATTATTTTTCATTGTAAATAAACAAGAATACCGTACCTGACTTACTTTCAATAGTTCATAATTGTTTTCTTATCTAAAAGCTGTTTGATAAAGTGAATTTGATAGAATAACAAATGTTCATTTTGTTTAAGTTTGTGATTAACTAAATAGATTGTCAAAGCATTTTTTGAAGTAGGTAATACGTACGCCTGTATTTATTCTAGAAGGGTTAACAACGGGTAACTTCGGCGTGGGAAATAAATTCTGCAAATAGAAAAATGATATATGATGAATCACACATATTGTCAGTCGTTCATACCGGATTACTTACCGTTATTCTTTTCGTTTTCTTTCTTTACTTATCTAAATGTATTTATTTTTGACAAAGAGCGCAGCCTCGGAAAAAATGGTCAGTCTTATTTGGTCCCAAATGTTTAAAGCATGCTTAGATTGTTGATTTGTTTACCTTTTTATACCATATTCACTAGTGATATAAATAGTTTTACGTAGATGATAAAATTGTTTTTTTTCTTCGGTTATCGAAAAAACACACCTTTTGCTATTTTTACACTTAACCATCCAATCACCGAGCAGGGTTTAGTGCATGGAAATAGCAAACAATAGGCAATGCCCATTGTGACGTCACAATAGGCCTGTTATTGATATCATTACGTCTCGATGCAGCATTCCGTGCATTTCTGTTTGCTGGCTTTCGTTTCACGGACGTCTATTGTCGTAATAAAGAAAAAGGTAATAAACGGAGTATCCTTGATTTATCTTAATCCATAACAGTTTTCAAGAAACCAAGAATATTTTCTTTGTATTGTATATTTTCAATAATATTGAAATTCAGAAATAAACTTGCATTAAAGAAATCAACAATGAACGTACACAAGTATTGGTTTACTTTTAGATTTCAAAACAACAACAGAAAAGGGGGAGAATTTTAAGGTCTTTCATCATATGCAGGGGCAAAAGGCCAGACCATAAAAATGTGCTTCCTGTAACAGGGTGGAAAAAATTGAGGGTAGGTAGGTAACAAATTAAATTTTAACAAATAATATTATATGGTTTATATAGGAGAGTGATTTTGACTTTAACAGTGCTTCTTTGAAAATTGCCTCAAAGAGTTTAGGGTAGGCACAAACAATGAGGGTATGTAGGGTTACCGCAAACACGAAATACTTTTGTTTGACCTTATTATTGAAGTACAGACACACGCGATAGCGCGCGTGATACACCATTATATCATTTACTTTATGGCACAATTATAAGGGGTATGGGAGGGGAAAAGGCACAGGTTATAATTGGCCTGTGTACATTTGTGTCGGTTTGATCAACTATATGTTGAGGTATAAAAACTTTATCGTATATATATATATATCCTTATTATATGAAATTTGAATTTGACCCTGTTTGATTAAACACAAAATATACATATGCATTATATTGTAACGCCAAGTCATATCCATGAATACATTTACATTTATCAATCTATGTTATGAGCCCAGTGAACTATTGTTATGAAGTAATCAGTCTTAGTGCCTTACTATTGACTACGTCAACCTCTTTATTGATCATTCCAACAGCCAATGTTCAAGTTCATTATGTTGAAATTAAATATTTTATATGAATTCCGAGTTTTAATTTGGGTCATTGAACATGAAAAGACCTAAATTCGAACCCTGAACATCTAACTGTCGACCTAACCAACTCAACTACCTGGTCAATGGTACATGCAGTGTCCTGGCCCTATCACGTTACGATTTATCTAAAGAGGAGACAACTGTGTGGAGAGGAACTCTTTGGTAATGTGTCGGTAGTGGAACAGGTCACCTTAAGTAAATTATATAAAAGAATACCACAGCATCAACAAGCAAGGACACAATGTACAGCGAACAAAGTTACAAAGGTAACCGAACAGATGTCAACCAGACCACGTGACAGTAGACTAAATCAGCTCATGATCAAATCAAAGGAGCCGCAGTTTATTGGTGATATTTCATTAAATGGGCGACAGGCGGACGTTAGTTACACTGCTATGCTACAGTCTTTACTGATAACGCTTTTGTATACATAGACCGATATGAGTGTATGCTATACCCTTAAACGTAATGTATGTCTGGCGATTACCTGGCCCGACCTTATTTGTGATTGTCTCTCCTTGTTTGCCTAGTTTGGAGACCGATAGAGTCGTAATTATGCTATTATTTGCCAGTCTTATCTAACTTATCAACATATCTGCAGGTCAACTGGCAACCTCGATAACAAGATGTCCGATAACACATATGTTTGATTTACTGCTATATTTTTATCACGTTTTTCCTCAAAGTTGTGAAATAAGTGTATGCGGTAATGCAAATTGATCAGATTGATTTATTGGTGTTGAGAGTATTTTAAATAATTTCCCTGGAAAAAATATTGAGAATTTATTTACAATCGCCAGATATACGATGTAAAGATCAATGCAGAAAGCAAAAGAAGGAAACATTTGACAGGATAATTTTTATAATTTTATTTTTTACCAATTAATCATATAAATAATGCGTATCAAAATTATAATATATGAACCTGTTAATGCGTTATTAAGATATTGGATTATATACTGCAGTTACAAATAATGAAATGAAAAAATATCTTAAATACACTTTTAAGATTCTCATATATTTGAAATATATATAGTTAACAATTATGTGAGACATCAAATTTTTTCTCTAATATTTTAAAATAATATGATGTCCCTTAATTTTTTAATAAAATATTTTCTTTTCTTCATATAGACTTAATTGTTTCTATGGATATGTGCAGTAAAGGTGAATTTGTGGTTATAAGAATCCGAGAAAGCGAGAGTCGAGGTTAATAAATCTTTTCAGGATACTACCATAAATGTTTGTAAATTAAAGTAACAATATTAAAATATGACTTTACGACTTAAAGATAAAATGTGTTAATTAGTTTACAAGTACAATAAGCGTGATCTGTTTGAAAGAAAAATATGAATATTAATGTATAAACCTCGCGTAGTAATCGCCAACGATATTTACCAAAAAACGTTTTTGCCTAAGTCTGGAAGGATGATGTTTTATATAATTGTCAAAACGACTTTTGTAAAATGTTTGGTCATCACAACGAGTGCCTTCCAGTAGTCAATCATTAAAAGAGTAATTGTATGTCAAGCGTAATTGGCTCTTGTACTCGTATATATCTCAAAAAAAGATGAATGAATTACTTTTGTCATAAATTTCTGATTTTCATCCTGTCTGATCATTGCATGGATGTGTTTTTCTCTTCTGCTCCTATAAGAGTCCTACTTAATACCAACGAAATGTTGTAAATATTCTTTATATTTATATGTTTTATATAGGTTATAAACATTCTTGATAGATGTAGAATTTTAGAACACCCAGAGTTTAGTTGACAGAGCAAACGTCTAGCGTTTTAACCCCTTTCTGATATGTTGTATTTTTCTTTTTTGTACTTTCGCTTTCATTTGTTCTCACATGTGGACCACCCTTGCAGGTCGGAGATCGATAAAATAATATATATGCTTTTACCCACGGCATGTAGTAGGAGGCGAATGATGTTCGAACCCCCTGCAGCATTTGGGATTTGCTTTTGTGCCCTCTTCTTGTGGGCACAACAAAACATAATTAATCTGCTGCACCCATTGCAATCCCTCTAAACGCCCTTTTTTTTTCTAGCAACTCGCCTGGCAAAACCTCACATTTGGCTTTATTGCTGAACGTTCGCCCAGGTCGGGAAGGCAGTGGGTTCTGTCCCCAAGCCGGGACATACCAAAGACATTAAAATGGTAGATGTTATTTCCTAACTAACATTTAGCATTAAAGAATGGCAACGAGTGGTTCACCCGTTCTCAGGAAAAATGTGACCAGACGGAATGCTGTGCTGGTTGCCTTCGGCATGGTACGTATTTTAGTGAGATTGCACCTCCATCACACTCACACGCAAGCACGCATATACAACACACATGGAGTCACGTCCTTAGATGACATAAGCCGTAGATAGGACGTTCAACAAAATAAAAACCCAATCCCTAACACTACATTCCTGTACGAAATCTTGCCCGACACATAAATGAATTAAGCTAACAGTACAAACAAAATAATATTGAATCACTTTACATCAGGGAACTGCAACATTGATGACATAAATACATATTGGATTTACAGAACAAGTGAGTCTGCAACATTCCAGCAAACACCATTTCGATCCAGCAAAGTTGCTAATAATACCTTGACAGTGTTGAATTGAAAAAAAACATCGAATTGCCTTCCCTTAAAAACACTGGCGGAATATTCCGTCAATGAAATCAGTGGTGACAGGATAATGAAGCTTGGCTATAGTCATTAAAAGACATCAAGCTTACATTTAGTAAGTTTGCCGATATACACCTTACATCGCAAAAATTCAGTGTTTAGTGTAAGTCATTCTATCTTGCGTGTACTTTATTTCGCGAACTATATTGGTTAAATTTATTTCCGAATACTGGAAATAACTATTGAGAGGATGTCACTTTACTATTGTTAACTTTTATTCCATCGGAAAAGCATTTGCGATTAATTAAATTCTTTAAAAATATCTCGTCCAGAGTAACCGCAATTTTTTTTCTCTTATTGAAAAATAAATTCATTTACGGTTTCTAGGAACAAAACTAAAATCTGGACCAAATATGCTTACAAAACATCACCAGTGTAAACGGGAAAATATATGTTTTTAATACAAAAACACTGTAAGCTGTCGCACGTTCTTAAATTACCACATCTGTTAATAGAGCGTAAAACACAAACAAACACATAACTCGCTAGAGTCCTACCAAATGTTTGAAGCGGATTCCTCTTGAATGCTCCTCTACGTATACAAGAAGGAAGATGACGATGGTTAGAAAAATAATGCAGAGGATCAAAGGCCTGTTTTTCATGACTGCTGATGACCCACGCCAACCTGGAAATAAAAACAAGTAGCATTAGTGTTCGGTAGGTGTAATATACTACTTTTAAGGATGCACGTACCACTGCCAAAAGTCGAAAATATTAACTTGGACATTTTTTGTTTGGTATAACTATACCTTTGTTAATTTAATTCTGAAAAGAAAATACTGCTTTGCAGAAGATTTATGAAAAATGTTAAGACGAAATCAAACGACACACAATCACCAATATTGTTTATTTTATACATATCGATATATTTATATGAAAATATGTAACGGGACCAGCACGTGGTCTGGATTCGAGCCATGGGCCTCCAATCATTGTATACGGTCGGTTTAACTAGCCGATCCGCAAGCTACCTGATCAATCGTAGACCTCAGGCCCCCTGAAGTTGGTTACTAGTTCCTAGTTTTTTTTTAGATAAACGGAACTGGAACCAGACCCTAGTTCCGTTTCAGAGAAACCGTAACCGGAGTTCCCAGTAAATGATAAGAGGCAGCTTATGATGTATTTCTGAAACATAACTAGTATTTTGGTCAAAGTCCCATTGATGGTGTTTGTTAAGAATGAAATAATGACCTGAAAGTCAAGTGGTAAATTAATTGCTGTTTCAGTTATCTTTCAACTATAGGCTGTCTTGTTACCCAGGCCAAGGCGATATAAATTGTACAGCTGTCAGGGCACCTGGCTTGGTGGCCGTTTACATATGTCAGATAAGCTTAATTGATCACCTCTACGGACAAAGGGAGGCACAACTTTATTTCACGCCTATTTTCATCTGGTTATTGTTTAGTTAATTAATTGTCATGCAAAGGTATATTGAGAGTATCCTATATGTAACAAGGCAGTTCCATTGTAAGCCTCTGAGCTAGGCACACGTCTACGCTTACCTTCAAGTCTAATACAAAATAGTACCACACGATTGGAGTTTATTGTTTGTACTACAGTATCCGGGAATCTGAGGGTAACAGTATTATTTTAGTTTTTAAAATATGTTTATGATTTGTGATTAACAGCTATGGCCATTTGAGGATGTGCCAGGTTTTGGTGGCGGAGGAAAGCCGGAGTACCCGGAGAAAAAACATCGACCTGCGCATTGACAATTGGTATATTTTCATGTACCATTTTTTCTGTATTTCTTATAATAATAATAATATACAACAGTTGATTTAGCGCCCTATCCAGCTAACATAGGCCACTTTAAAGCGCTTAAAACAATTTTGAGGAATTTGCAGGATCTGCCTTATCAGGCCCTATTCCACCTGGCTAATATCTTCCTATGTGTGTATGCCTGCGTTTGTGCTGGATATGAAATGAGTTCTGTTTGTAGTGGGACCGTGCTTCCAACGACATCATTTATAGTGGCACCTCACTTGAATGTTAAAGCATAGATACCGCAACATGCACCCAGACCAATGCATACTCCTCCTGGGTTGTTGGAGTTGTGTGGACAGGAGAAAAAAACACTTTCTCTGAATATCCATGCGTACGACGACTTCGGGGATCGAACCACGGCCTCCTGCTTGGAAGGTCGGAGTGTTAACCACTCGACCAATCCGCCCATTTCTAGCTATGCATTTTCTTTTGACCTCTAGCACAGCTGATGTGTTCAAATTGCCTCAATAACTATAGGGTTTATTATGTGTCTATTTCAACTAGCGTTCTTCATCGGATTTCACCGAGGTGTATTTCATAAGTAAAAGTGAACGGTTATTTCAACAAACACAAAAACACCTCCATTAATGTACACAAGGAACGCAATGCCCTTAGATCTTCTGCCTCATCGCAAAACGTTGGATCTAAATCTTTTGAAGAAGTCTCCCTAGACACAGGGCCGTTTTCATATGACCCCGGCTGTTGTGTCTCCCTAAACACAGGGCCGTTTTCATATGACCCTGGCTGTTGTGTCTCCCTAGACACAGGGACGTTTTCATATGACCCCGGCTGTTGTGTCTCCCTAGACACAGGGCCGTTTTCATATGACCCCGGCTGTTGCGAGGATATTAAACCACATGCAAACAAACAATCAAACAAACAAAGATGCAGATCTTCCATTCCAAACAAATGTCAATAGCATACATGCTGTACAATCATTTATAAAATCAACGAAGAGGTTGGAAACCAACTAGTGAACAACTAATGCAACCAGAACAATTCCCCTCCTGTCCTTTCTTTTACTTTTTTCCATCACTCCTTCCCTTTCTCCTTACTGTTTTGATGTCAATTAGTAGATTGTCTATGTATATATGCTGAACGTTTTGTCCCTACGTGTTCTATCTTTAGTTACCGTGTGTTGTATTGTCGGGAGAGGGCCTGGTAAGTTGTTCTATCTTTAGTTACCGTGTGTTGTATTGTCGGGAGAGGGCCTGGTAAGTTGTTCTATCTTTAGTTACTGTGTGTTGTATTGTCGGGAGAGGGCCTGGTAAGTTGTTCTATCTTTAGTTACTGTGTGTTGTATTGTCGGGAGAGGGCCTGGTAAGTTGTTCTATCTTTAGTTACTGTGTGTTGTATTGTCGGGAGAGGGCCTGGTAAGTTGTTCTATCTTTAGTTACTGTGTGTTGTATTGTCGGGAGAGGGCCTGGTAAGTTGTTCTATCTTTAGTTACTGTGTGTTGTATTGTCGGGAGAGGGCCTGGTAAGTTGTTCTATCTTTAGTTACTGTGTGTTGTATTGTCGGGAGAGGGCCTGGTAAGTTGTTCTATCTTTAGTTACTGTGTGTTGTATTGTCGGGAGAGGGCCTGGTAAGTTGTTCTATCTTTAGTTACTGTGTGTTGTATTGTCGGGAGAGGGCCTGGTAAGTTGTTCTATCTTTAGTTACTGTGTGTTGTATTGTCGGGAGAGGGCCTGGTAAGTTGTTCTATCTTTAGTTACTGTGTGTTGTATTGTCGGGAGAGGGCCTGGTAAGTTGTTCTATCTTTAGTTACTGTGTGTTGTATTGTCGGGAGAGGGCCTGGTAAGTTGTTCTATCTTTAGTTACTGTGTGTTGTATTGTCGGGAGAGGGCCTGGTAAGTTGTTCTATCTTTAGTTACTGTGTGTTGTATTGTCGGGAGAGGGCCTGGTAAGTTGTTCTATCTTTAGTTACTGTGTGTTGTATTGTCGGGAGAGGGCCTGGTAAGTTGTTCTATCTTTAGTTACTGTGTGTTGTATTGTCGGGAGAGGGCCTGGTAAGTTGTTCTATCTTTAGTTACTGTGTGTTGTATTGTCGGGAGAGGGCCTGGTAAGTTGTTCTATCTTTAGTTACTGTGTGTTGTATTGTCGGGAGAGGGCCTGGTAAGTTGTTCTATCTTTAGTTACTGTGTGTTGTATTGTCGGGAGAGGGCCTGGTAAGTTGTTCTATCTTTAGTTACTGTGTGTTGTATTGTCGGGAGAGGGCCTGGTAAGTTGTTCTATCTTTAGTTACTGTGTGTTGTATTGTCGGGAGAGGGCCTGGTAAGTTGTTCTATCTTTAGTTACTGTGTGTTGTATTGTCGGGAGAGGGCCTGGTAAGTTGTTCTATCTTTAGTTACTGTGTGTTGTATTGTCGGGAGAGGGCCTGGTAAGTTGTTCTATCTTTAGTTACTGTGTGTTGTATTGTCGGGAGAGGGCCTGGTAAGTTGTTCTATCTTTAGTTACTGTGTGTTGTATTGTCGGGAGAGGGCCTGGTAAGTTGTTCTATCTTTAGTTACTGTGTGTTGTATTGTCGGGAGAGGGCCTGGTAAGTTGTTCTATCTTTAGTTACTGTGTGTTGTATTGTCGGGAGAGGGCCTGGTAAGTTGTTCTATCTTTAGTTACTGTGTGTTGTATTGTCGGGAGAGGGCCTGGTAAGTTGTTCTATCTTTAGTTACTGTGTGTTGTATTGTCGGGAGAGGGCCTGGTAAGTTGTCAGAACTTGTGACCAATCCCATTGATTGATTTTCCTTTAATAACATATGTTAGAATGAATAACAAACAAACTACATGTTGAGGTTACGAACAATTACGGTTGTTTTTTGGACGCAGTCATAACCTTTGCGTTCACGTGTATGTTTCTTACGTTCATCGTTCAAGATACGAGTTGGTAGACCTTAGTTTGGCGTACCCTTGATGACCGAAGTGATCTCTTTTGAGTAGTGGCTGGGCTCTTTACTCATTCACCCCTGAAGTTTCATAATGAACTATTTCAACATTTGAACTGTAAGAGATCAAATGTGACTTCAGGGGTAAATGAGTCAATATGCACACTTTTCTCATTATTGATTTGAAATTAACTAGTACTTATTTAATTTTGAAATTCATATAATTCAGGGATTTTATACACCTCTCCTTCTGCTTCAACAGTAGCTCAGACTAATTTGGATTTTCCATCTTTTTGTTCCCTAGCATTACAGATGAATCCTAGGAGGGCGAAAACAGCTGTATTAAGGGCCTATTACACACTTTCGATGTACCTCGTCGGGACGAACCCGGAGCAAAAAATTAACAACGGCGAGAAAATCGGCAGGGCTCCGGTGAGAAAGTACTTGAAAAAAACCACTAAAAAAGTGGCCGTAACAATGCCGATGTACATGTAGTACCGGCGTTCCCGTTGCGACGTCGTTGCTCTACCGTTGTCCTACCGATGTAAGGGCCGATGTACCGAATAACATTTTTTCTGTCGTTAGTACATCGGCGGCGCATCAGTCCTACTTCGGTGATATTCGGTAGTACTACGGTATCACGTCGGTACCAGTACGGTACACATTGAGGCCACCGGAGAGCCGCCGATACATTACAGGGCGCTACCGGTGCTCTAGATCTATCATCGACATTAACGAAGCCAGAGTGATACCGTTGGCGTTGTACTGTCGTTGTAGTCCTGTTGTTCACTCCGGCATCGCAACGGCGGGAATTTTTGAACAAATTCATATTTTTTACCGTCGCCTATTCTGACGATATCCTGACGATGTACATGTACTACCGTTCTTAGCGATGTGATACCGTTGCGCTACCGTACTTGCACCGATCCCGATTACGCAAGAGGCACCATCTGTGGATGACGTTTACCTCACGAATTGT